CTTAAGTCCCATCAAATGGGGTCAGTTACATGAATCCTTCTCTACGTGGCTCTATCAAAGACCATTTCGTTAGTCAAATTAAGTAGATTCATATCTCTATTTACTACGCTAGCTAACGTCAATCTAAGTTTATCCTGTCCCCTAACACTTCCATCTACCGTCACTGCATCGCATCTCTTCACTACTGCTTTTGTTGGTCTCTGTTGAATATGACCAAACCATCTTAATCTATTCTCTCTCAACTTATCTTCTATTGGTGCTACTCCTACCCATTCCCGAATATACTCATTCCTAATTCTGTTTTTTCTAGTCTTGCTACACATTCATCTTAGCATCCTCATTTCAGCAACACTCATCTTATCTACATGTTGTTTCTTGGTTGCCCAACACTATACAACATCGCTGGTCTAATAGCCGTTCTATAAAACTTTCCTTTTAGTCTAGTGGGTACTCGTTTATCGCACAGTCCCTAGACGCACTTCGCCACTTAAGCCACCCCGCCTTAATTCTATGGACCACATCATCAACCCTAAATCAAAAGTTAATAATCAAAAAGTATAAGTTAAAATCATCTTTCTCTTACATTTCAGATAATCATTTTTTTTTTTCCAATTCATTTAAACAATTTTTACCTATTAAGTTGTAAGCAGAAATTGCTATAAAAATTTTTAAAAAAAAAAAAAAAAACCTTATATAAACTACACCAAATAATCCGATATATACTATCACCAATTCATGATATCACTATCAATGATACGTGATATCAGCATTCAATAATATAGTGTTCCGCTCCCATACAACATATCTATAGAGAAGAAAATCAAAGTGTTGATTGCATTCAGGGTCAGCCCTAACCTCAACCATTAGACAAAAAGCACACATCAAGCCTTCTTGGTCTAAGGTTGCTGATGGGAAAGAATACGTTTTGTGATGCTGATATGTGTTGATCTTTTTGAATTATGATAATGTGCATAGATACATGGATCTAGCCCTTCTACATTGCATCACCACATTGCAGCCACATTACTATCTGATGGCGTGTATGTTTTCTACTTGGTGAATATGAATAATAGTTATTGATGTCAAAGTTGTCAACTACAAATTGTTTTTGTTAAATATAAATAAATATTAAATATTAGAGATTGATGTTAACAGTAAATTGTCTTTGTAAGTATTAATAAATATTATGTTAATATGAACTATTAGAATAAGTGAGGTTTTTTTTTTTTTTTAATTTTAAATGTGAGATTTGTATGTTTGAGAATTTCTATCTCAGTTGGGAGAGAGTTCTTACAGGTTCGTTTACTTGGGAGAGTGGAATAGCATTTATGAGTAAGAAAAGTCACCCAAGTAGGAGGTTCTGCTACTAAAGTTTACATACATTATTTGGTTGTTGAGTTAATCTCTTCTAAGATTTATGTTTGGTTTATGACTTTTAGTCCATATTCATGTTATCGTTAGATATTTGTTGTTTATTGTTCTTTATTGCCCTCATCAATGCTCTATATGCCTCTATATGCCTCGTGAGGCATTCAATTGAGTATTTGATACAAGCTTACAAGTTGATCCTATTGCAATTTGGTGAAGCAAGGAGCTTGTCTAGGTCTATGTTTGTGGGGACCATAGGTCAAGCTATGTCTTGTTTTGGGTTTCATTATTGTAATTCAGTTTTTTAAGGAAATGTAAAAAGGAGAAAATTGTCACACAATCTTGGTTAGGTTTTTAATTTATGTGAGACAACACTATTAAGGTGGTGCTTGGGATGAGTAAATTGGCTATTTTAGCCAATAAAGACAAAAAAGACTAAAATAGCCAATAAGACAAAATGTCACATTCAAACCATAATCATCTCATTTTTTCTCACAACCATCAATTCCATTACAGCACAAACCAAAAATCATCCCAAACACAACTTTTAACTAGGCTAAAATAGCCAAATAGTCAAAAAATCACGCTAAAAAAGTTCATCCCAAACGAGCACTAAGTCAATGTATTGTAATTCGGGCATGGTTGTAACAGTAGCTAGGTTAGATTTAGATTGTGTAAGAGCTTTTGAGAATCGTTTAATGGTTTGTGCAGGACTTGCTTCGTTACACTTATAGGTAAATTGTATAAGCACTTGCATTGGACTTGGGCAGGGTTCCCAAAATGCACAAAATCAACTTAGTTTAATATTTAAATTCTTGGCTTTATGTTTATGAGAAATTGGCTTTGAAAATACAATCAAATATAAAGAAGCCCGCTCGAGCTCCCATCAGGCCCAGTAGACTGCACTACATACAAACCTACAAAGGTTTGCTTGAAAGCATACCTGAAAGGTCGCTCAAACTGGGAATCACTTGCAGAGACAGGCCCGGCTAGACTATAAAGCCAGTCAAGCCTTTGCTTTAGGCCCCCATATTTGGGAAGGCCCAATTTTTTAATATAGTATAATATGGCTTATATAATTTATTATTTATTTTTTGGTAAAAAAATCCACTTATACAACAAAAGGCTCCCAACAAATTGTATCTTATCTTATCAAGAAATAATAATAATAATAATGTTGTAAAAATGTTCATCTAAATGTTGTACCGTATAGATTGAATAAATGGGCAAATGAATGATTACTATCCTTGATCATAGAGATAGGATTTGGCTTCTCTCAAGTTGTCATATAAACTTGAGAGAGCATTTGGACTTGGTAGGCTCATTTTGGGACCGATTTTTGTGATCTAAACCGTTTACTTTTTACGACTTGTTAAGTAAAATATTCATGCAAAATATCAAGATGATTAAATATCAGCTCTATGTTTGAATCATTTGTTTTTAAAAAAATGGACGACAAATATACTTCCGAGAATAACCATTCATTTTTTGTAATACAAATTAGATTCAAATATATAGCTACCAATGTTTGAACATCTTGATTTTTTACATGAAAATTCTATTTAACGAGTCCTAAAATGTGAACGGTTTGGATCACCAAAATCGGTTCCAAAATGAGCCTACCAAGCCCAAACGCTCTCTTAAGTTGAGATAGCTAACTTGGGAAGTCAAGCCCATAGAGATATTCTTGACATACACTAGTATAACTACAAATAAATTATTAATTAATATCAATTTCCAAGAAAGTGGCCTAATTTTTTTCCTTTAACTCATGTCTCTCTCTCAAGTCTTTTCAGTTTCCTCTCCCATATACTTTCAAAAAAATACATATCATTATCTCTATCTAGCAAAACAGGAAAAAAAAAACTCTCCCTTCTCTCTCTGTGCACTTTTCTTCAAGTTTTGTTTACTGACTCTTTTAAAATTCTGTCAAAGATATTTATTCATCATCAACTCCACAAACAGATATATTATTGAGGTAAATTGTTTAAATTATTTGTTTTTTATATTTTCTTTTAATTATATTTCTAATTCAATTTTTTTTTTCTCATGTTGAAGAAATTATAGGAAATTTAAACATACATCTGATCAATATCTACTATTTATCACTTACGGTGGAAAATCAATTTCTATTGTTCTACCCTTTTAATATTTTTAATTTAAAGTTTTTTTTTCTTTTTCTTTTTTTTGTATTTTTATTATTGCTAGTGTTGTGAACAATTTTTTTTTTTTTGATTATTTATAGAGAAAACAAATATGTCTAATAGAAAATATGAATCTGGATATGAAAAACTTAAGAAAAAAAAAAAAGAAATATATAAAATCTTATTCAATCTCAAAAAGAAGCTCTTGATAAATTTATTACATCTAATAAAAATATAACAAATTTTTTTAATTATATAAAATGCCACATTTTTAATTATTGGTTTAGGCCACAAATTATCTAGACCTGGCCTTGTGCGGACATACTAAGGGCCATTCCCAAAAGCACACATGGAAGCCCGCTCGAGTGCACTACCAATTGAAGAGATGTTGCAAGCTTGCAAGCTCCGCCTAAAGCATGCTCAAAGGCCCACTTGAGCATGCGTGAGGGATTCTGCCAAGATCAGGTTTTTATCCTCCAATCCAAAACCTATGTAAACTTAGTTTCTGCATTCAGTAAGATGCATACATACTGCCCTAACAACCTTATGAGATGTGGAGTAGCCCTATTCATCTTCTTCAAAGCAAAAACAAAAGCTTTCATGTTTAACACATTATTTACACTTTACATTGAGTCCTTTTCTATATGGGTGCTAATCTTAAGGTTGTTGGACTAATTAAATCTTAAATTTAAGGATATGCGATTTGGCAAAAAAGAATCATATTTTATATTTTTAGTATATTATGAGAGGTGAAATGATATTATATGTAACATAGAGTGTCAAAAAGACATTTTACTGATTTTATAACAATTATACGACGATATATATCTATAATGATAGTGTTAAATACAAATATATAAAAAGTGTGTGATGGAATGTATTGGACACATATCCCCCACCCTTGTCCAAGTGTTGGGTTTCACATAACATAGGTCCTTTATAAGACCCACACACTCCTGCGTGACACACTCAACTGTTGGACACTATTAACAAAGGCGTGTTGAACAAAGATCGGTGAAAGGAGCAATGTAGATTATTATTGAATCAAGAGTTGAATAGGATCAAAGCCACGTGGAGTGGAGAACAAGCAAGGAGCTTTGTGAAAGACTCGAAGAGTTAATTTAACCAAGTAAGGGTTGTAATTATTTTCATCTGGAGTCTTGTAACTCTTGATTCAATAGTGGATTTTGTTGGATTGGTTGTGTCAATGGTTTTTCCCTTGGGGAGAGTTGTCCTCAAGGTATCCATGTACAATTGCATGTCTTCTTTATCTTTGAACGATTTTTGTGCATATCATGATTGATTGAATCACATATTGGAATTTGTTGAATAAACAAGGTTGGTAATCCTTCTTCGTTTACTTCCTTATGAAATCCTGTCTAGCTCCAAGTTTTCATGCTAGAGGAGAAAAAAGGAACCAAGGAAAGCAGTATCAATAATGACTTGCTCGAAGAGCAACCAGAAATAGTAAGAAAACTTTTGACATACCCATGCAAGTGAAGCCTCTAGAACTGTTCCAAGTGTCCAGAAGGATGAAAAGATTACCATCCAAGTTCCTCTTTTTGGAGTAGGAACAAACTCCAGAAACCAAGACAAGTACACAGGACCGCCACCCAGACCAAAGCCAACCAAACAACGGAGAATGATCAAAGATGTATAGTTTGGTGAAAAAGAACTTAGAAACCCAGCTCCAGTGGTTACAATAGCTATACTGAGAAGACCCTTCCTGGCAATGGCAAGTGAATGTAGGAAATCATAATGAAGGCTGAGTAAGTTACTAAACAGTGTAGAGTATGTGGAAGAACTTCAAACATCTAATAAAAGATTGCATTGACATTGCAATGATTAAGTTCTATTTATTACTACACTTGACTAAAACATTATGATCAGGTAAAGAAAAGATGTAAAAGACTTTAAAATAAACCCATATAGAATTCCATTATAAGAGGGAGTAAAGGTGATGTTTGACAGATGCAGGTTTTGGTTTCATTAAACATTAATACCATCCTCAAAAAGATCAAATTATAATTGAATGGACATGTTTCAACAAAGACAAACCAAACAAAGCCTTAAATCCCATCAAATGGAGTTAGCAACATGAATCTTTCTTTTTCACTCAACTCTATCAAAGGCCATTTGGTTAGTCAAATTAAAGAGATTCATATCTCTATTTACTACCCTAACCCACGTCAATCTAGGTTTGCCCTTTCTCCTAACACTTTCCTCTACTGTCACTATATCGCATCTCTTCACCACTGTCTTTGTTGGTCTCCGTTGTACATGACCAAACCATCTCAATCTATTCTCTTTCAGCCTATCTTCTATCAGTACTACTCCTATCCATTCACGAATATACTTATTCCTAACTCTATCTTTTCTAATCTTGCCACACACCCACCTTAACATCCTCATCTCAGCAACACTCATCTTATCTACATGTCATTTCTTCGTTGTCCAACACTCATCTTATGTTTCAACAAAGACAACCAAATAAAAATAAAAAATGCAGTTTTTCACAATTGCACTATGTAAAGAATGAGAGGACAGGTCACTGCAAGGTCTGTAACAGCACCAAATCTGTTAAGAGGCTATGTGAGAGAACCCTTTCATGTATTGGATTGCCAACGTTGATCATTGAAGAGGACTTGGAGTATGAAGAAAGGAAAATCTAAATTGTTGATTGCCAGGAGAAGCTATTAAGAAAAAAACAATGGTAAGAATTGGAATGGAAGGATCATTATGGAAGAGAGGCGCAACTGGGGGAATAGAAGATGAAATGAGGGAGAAGTATCCATTTCTCTTTGAACCATGGGGTAAGTTAAGTTTGAAGTCATTGTACATAAATAGTTTGGAAAACAACAGTGTTCTTTTTTTTTGTTTTTGTACTTTTGTAACTGAACGTGGGATGTTCATAACAAGGAATAGTAAATTGCTTCATTTCATTTATTTACGTAGCTACTCTGAATAGATGTTGTGGGATAAACAGGTTAAGGAAATTGAGGCTGCCAAATTTCCTAGGGCAAAAACCTCCCACATGGGAGCTTGGGAGGACAAGAGGTTAATGGAAGGATCTAAAACTTCCTAGCTCATTCCAACACTTGAAGAGAACATGGAGGATTCTAGAACATCCTTGAATATTCAAAACACTTGACTTGTAAATGTCTTGTATAGATATTTCTAAAGCATTCTGGAACATTCTTGTAGCTTGTAAAGAAGGCTTCCATGGGAAGCTTCTACATGACATTCTCTTGAGAATTTTAGAATGCTCTTAGGAAGCCTATAAATAGGAGAGGAGCTCATTTGCTCCAACCCATCCAAGAGTTGTAAAACTTTCTCATAGTGAATACAAGGCATTCTCTCAGACTCTCTCATGTTCCCCTTGTCTTTCTTCTAAGTTAGTGAGTTAGGCTGACTTAGCATCATCAAGTGAAGCTTGAATTTGTCTAAGTGCCGCACAGATAGCTTGGAAACAAAAAGGCCGTGACACGTGGCATCAGAGCTAAGGTTGAGACGAGAGAAGAAAAGGCAACATGTTTTCTGGTGCTAAAGAAACAACGGTGACCAAGCAATCCTGTGGAAGGGACAACACTGGCAGGGCAAGGAAGGATAAGTCACAAGATGCACATGATGCTATGGCAATCATGGAGACTCGACTGGCTAAGGTAGAGCTTGCCGTGGGCGATTCGGGGGAACGCCTTGATGTGTTGGAGCAAAGCTTGGAGCAGGAGGTAGAAGGTCTCAAGGGGGAGATCAAAGAACTCCGTGATGGCAGCACCATTAACTCTGTGGTGCATGATGGCCAAGTTGCCTATGATTCCTTCCAAGCTAAAGTGTTGGAGATGCTCGCAAGCTTTGAAGCCCGCTTGGAGGAGATGCACCAAGACGTGGCAATGTGCAAGAAGGCCATAGCCGGGGGAGCTATGACCATGCCGGGGACATCTAAGGTGGAGGTGCCAAAGCCAAAGCCTAAGCCTTTTGACGGAAAGAGAGATGCCAAAGAAGTGGACAACTACTTGTGGCTTATGGAAAGATACTTTGAGGCAATGGCAGTAACCAAGGAAGATGCCAATGTACGCACTACAGTCCTTTACCTCGCTGATACAGCAACACTATGGTGGTGTCGTAGGCATGCTGACATTGAAAAAGGTACGTGCACCATAGACACGTGGGATGACTTTAAGAAAGAACTTAAGAAGCAATTCTATCCCGAAGATGTGGCCTACCAAGCTAGAAAGAGCTTGAAGAAACTTAAACACATATCATCTATTCGGGACTATGTAAAGGAATTTTCTACTCTTATGTTAGAAGTCCCGAGCATCACTAATGAAGAATTACACTTTAACTTCTTGGACAACCTACAACCATGGGCGGAGCAAGAATTGCGCCGGCGCGGGGTGCAAGATCTTTCCTTGGCCATGGCAATAGCCGAGTCCCTAATTGAGTATAAGAAAGGAGATAATAAGGCCAGGTCATCCAAGGATAGTCATAATAAAGGTGGGGGAGACAAGAACAAGGGGTTCCATCGTAAAGAAGGGCACAACAAACCCCCTACTGGCAAAGAGGGAAAAGACAAAGCTAAGTACCAATCCAAAAACAAAGGCAAGTTCAAGCCCAAGACCAACTGCTTCTTATGTGATGGATCACATTGGGCAAGAGAGTGTCCTAGAAGATAAGCCCTCAATGCCATGATAAAAGAGCGGGAAAAAGAGGAAACTCCCCACATGGGATCCCTACAACTACTCAATGCCATCAAATCAAAGCATGCCACATCTACCCAAAGTGACAAAGGCTTGATGTATGTGGCGGTAAGCCTCAATGGGAAGCCTGCTCGTGCAATGGTGGACACAGGAGCTACCCATAACTTCGTCTCTGTGGAAGAGGCAAGAAGGTTGGAATTAAAGACTAGCAAAGAGTCTGGATGGCTCAAGGCTGTCAACTCAAAGGCAAAACCCTTGCATGGAGTAGCACGTGGGATAGACATAAGCCTTGGTGCTTGGAAGGGCAAGATCGAGCTCACGGTGGCACCTATGGATGACTTCCAAGTTGTCATAGGCATGGACTTCTTGGGCAAAGTTAAGGCAATACCAATACCATTCCTACGCTCCATGGCCATCTTGGAAGAGAACACACCTTATGTGGTACAATCGGTGCCAGGAAAAGGGTTGAAGACCCCGCTTCTCTCAGCTATGCAAGTAAAGAAAGGCTTCAAAAAAGGAGAAGTGACCTACCTTGCAACCATGGCAGAGGAAAAGAAGGGTGTGCCCAAGGGATCAATACCCAAGGAGATTGAGAAGGTACTCCATGAGTACAAAGAAGTGATGCCACTCAAGCTACCGAAGAAACTGCCACCTAGGAGGGAGGTGAATCATAAGATCGAGTTGGAGCCAGGCACAACACCACCCGCCAAAGCACCTTACAAGATGGCACCACCCGAGTTAGAGGAATCAAGGAGGCAACTAATGGACTTGCTAGATGTTGGCTACATTCAACCGTCCAAAGCTCCCTATGGTGCTCTTGTGCTATTCCAAAAGAAGAAGGATGGCTCTCTTTGCCTATGCATTGACTATAGGGCGCTTAACAAGGTAACCATAAAAAACCAGTATCCTATCTCTGATTGCTGATTTGTTTGATCAGCCTGGTAGAGCTCGATATTTCTCTAAACTAGACTTAAGATCTGGCTACTACCAAGTAAGGATAGCAGCTGGGGATGAGCCAAAGACTACTTGCACTACTCGATATGGCTCATTTGAGTTCTTAGTGATGCCATTTGGCCTCACCAATGCCCCAGCCACATTTTGCACTCTCATGAACAAGATCTTTCATCCTTACTTGGACCGATTTGTAGTGGTCCACTTAGACGACATCGTGGTCTATAGCAACACTTTGGAAGACCATGTAGATCATCTACGAGCAATGTTTAAAGTGCTAAAAGATAATGAGCTCTATGTGAAGAAGGAGAAGTGCTCCTTTGTAACGAATGAGGTATCATTCTTGGGACACAAGATCAAGGATAGGATGCTTATGATGGAGGAGGACAAGGTACGTGCAATACAAGAATGGAAGGCTCCTACGAAAGTGATAGAGCTAAGATCATTCCTTGGCCTTGTCAATTATTATCTGCGGTTCATAAAGGGATATTCAGCAAGGGCAGCACTACTGACGGACCTCCTAAAGAAGAATAAGGCATGGGAATGGTCAAAGAAATGCTAAGATGCCTTTGAAGAGTTGAAGAAGGCAGTGACAGAGGAACCAATATTGGGGCTACCAGACCATACCAAGCCTTATGAGGTACACACAAATGCTTCTGACTTTGCTATTGGAGGCATGCTCATGCAAGATAGGCATCCTATTGCCTATGAAAGTCGCAAGCTTAATGACACCGAGCGGAGGTACACAATGCAAGAGAAGGAAATGACGGCTATCATCCATTGCTTGCGCACATGGAGACACTACCTGTTGGGCTCCAAGTTTGTAGTCAATACAGATAATGTTGCCACTAGCTACTTCTAGTCCCAGAAGAAGTTAAGCCCAAAACAAGCTAGATGGCAAGACTTTTGGCAGAATTCGACTACATCTTGGAGTATAAGCCGGGGAAGGCGAACCTTGCGGCAGACGCGTTAAGTCACAAGGTAGAATTATTTGCTATGAGTAGCAGGCCCCAAGGTGAATTAATTAAACTCATCAAAGAAGGGTTGTAGCATGATCCTCTTGCCAAGAGCCTGAGTG